TTGTGGTGCTTCCTGCGATCATCTGTTTACATAGCTGACCCCTCTTGAAGCACCTCAAAGACTCCTTATTCAACTTCATGTCCCCAGCGTCTAAGGAAATCGCAGTCATGGTTAGCAACCCTTTGGGCGCTACTCAGGGAATAAATGAATGGAGCGTATGTTTCCAGAGTTTCACCTGTGAACCTAATCACATAGCTGCCACCCTGACTCGCTGCCACCCTGTCCATTCTGCACACAGGAAGCCTCTGCCTGGGCCATGCCCTTTACTCTGAAAGTCGAGGGGAAACACAGTTTGAGCTCCACCTTCCAGAGAGAAAAGTGAGCTCCCTTAAGAGAGCACCCCCCCACCTTCCACCCCCGCCAAAAAACAACCCTCACAGCAGGCATGCCTGTGTACACTGCACCAGATCGCAACTACATACCAGGAAGAACTCCGGGAGCAGCACCCGAAGTTGGTAGCTACTTTGAGCAGCTCTCTGTGTGCTCTACTTGCGATCGTTCTTCAGTTACACCTAACCCCCACTTTACAACTCGGTCCGCCTGCGCGTGAGCATGCGGAGAATTAAGGGAGCTGTGTCTGCAGGCAGAAATAGGAGCTTCCTTCAGCCTGGTCCAAAGGCACGCTGGTTGGCCCAGGTGCCATCTGCCCATGCCAAAGCATGGTAGGAGGTAGTGCTTCCAGCAGCCCAGAGCTGTCTTCATTAATGACCTCCTTCACGTGGACAGTTAGTTTGCCATAACTCATGTCTGCCAAAAGCTATGGAAAGTCACAACAGAAACCACGTGGCATTCAAATAGATTTCATTTGCATCTTTAATGGAATTGGACTTCATTTTTGATGTTAACCCCACCCATCCCATCCCATTTCCACCAACACACACACACACACACCAACCCCCTCCGCTATTTTCTGAACCGACCATTCTTTTCCCCCAAGGGCTGTCAGGGTTATCGCTGTCATATGCTAACTTTTTTTTTTAATCTATTCTGAGCCCTATTTCTGGAAACGACTGTGCTGCTCACATGGTCAGTCTGTACTCCTGTTCAGAGTACCCACACTGTTTTGAATTACCAGAGCTTTATAATCCAGTTCAGTATTGGGCCAACACATTCCTCTTCACTGTTCTTCTCCATGCACATGGATTCTTCTTGGTGCTTTCTCCACCCGTTTCCTGACATTAAAAGGGATTTATCATTGGCTTTTTCTTTTCCTCTTGGATATATATTCAGTCTGAAATACATGTTCGGTATAGCTCAGAGAGATCTCTTCCGTCTTGGGGGACAAAGGCAGTTTTACTCGGAGGGTCACGTGCAGACTTGTGCTGTTTCTCTCCATTCCTTCGGGCTCTCTCAGCAGTTTTGATCACTCCCTTCCCAGAGAGCCCTCCCTGCATCATCTCATGCTGCTTCCTGACATCACACGAGAGGCGCTGTAAGTTAGAGACTGGGTGTGACAGCCAGAGATGCGATTCCATTTCCCAATCAGTGTGTGCAGGCCCTTGCTGTAGAGACGGGGGAGAAGCCTGGGTGCCCACCCTTCGGAATGCTGCTCCTGACAGCGGGTGACAGAGAGACAGGCACCTTCTTCCCAACCATAGGCTGCCTTCTGCCCCTCCTACATGATGTGGGTGGCCCCGAAGGACTTCTTCCTATCGCAGGCATTAGCTTTACGAAATGCTGGTGAATTTTTTGTTTTTAATGTTAAAAATAGTGCCTTTAGCCATAAGCAAGATCTGTTTCCTTGGAAAATGGATTCAGTTTTCCACTAAGTCTTCTCATTCCAGAAGATGTCTGTTTTCCTCACGGACGGGGCCAGGAAGCTGAATTTTACCAGAGTGTCTGTTTGCCTAGTGAGATACTTTGGAGTTGCCTGTCGATTTAAAAAGGAATATGACAGTGCTGTAATTATCTGTGTCTGCTCACAGTCATTATCCCTCTGCAAAGGAAGCTAGATTGAAAGAAAAATCGCTGCCATAGATGGAGCGCTGCATGTCCAGCCCTGGGCTCCCGGGCTCCCGGGCTGCTCCCGCTTAGCTGGGCCTCGGTAGCCCCACCGGCCGCTGGAACACTGCTGCTCGGAGCAGGTGGTTTGCCTGAGCTCCGGGAGGAAGTGGCAGAGCCGGGTTCTAAACCTCCACTCTCAATCAGCACTCTAATATCTGGTAATGTAGTGAGTGACCGACCCGGAACATTAAAGAAAATGACAAAGAAATTCATTTGGGGACACTTACAAAGCAACAACAACCTACTGACGAGAAGCTACAGTTTAGTTTTTCTGGTTACCACGATGTGTAGGCCACGCTTGGTTCTGAGCAGTGTTGATGAGAGCGCAGATCAAAGATTGGTGTCTTTATGCTTGAGATACTCAAGAGCGAAGGTATATCAGCCCATTCATAGACTTCCAGGCGATGGTTCTGAAGAGTCAGCAGTGTGTGATGTCTGTCAAAGTTCACGGCCAAGTCCAGGGCAGCGTATCAAGTTAGTTAGTTGCTGTCGGTCCATTCTGGCTCCTGGTCATCCTGGGTGTTGAGAAGAACTGTGCTGGGAGCAGGGGGGTGGGGGGTGGGGTGGGGATAGGCCTCTGGAGGCTGTGCTCTTTCTGAAGTGCATCGCCAGGCCTGTTCCCCGAGGAGCCTCTGGGTGGGTTAGGTATGTCTGATCCTCCCAGGGATCAGCGCAAGAAGAGGGAGCCAGGGCTAGGCATAACCCTTTCCTGCTGGGGCAGGAGAGCAGGAGGCAGCTTTTGGCAACAGAGGGAAGGCGGTGAGGAAGATCAGAGCCAGGGTCAGACAGAAGGATTGGGTGGCTTCCTGTTGAGGATCTATGGACAAAGGGGGCCACACCAGTACATCTAGTTCCCCAGAGGGACTTCAGCCTGGTTCGCAGTGGGGCCCTTGGCCCCTGCTGAAAGACCAGAGTCCTTAGGACTGAGGGAAAGCCGAGCAGGCGCTTGTCTGCCTGGCTCACATCAGGAGCCTCCTAGGGGCCCAGGGGGTAAGGCTGCAGATCTCATAGGGAGGGTGGTCTCAGGGTTGCTGGACCTTGGTGGGAGCTACTAGAAGTGCTACAGAGAGGTCTGCTTGCTGCTTGATCTGAATGAGAGATTGAATTTCACCCCTAGTCAGTAGAACGGAACCTGCTTACTTAATGTATTCCGTCCCTCCATTGTGCTTGGTCCAGGCCAGGCGTGGTCCTGTGCCTGCCTGCAAGGCTGGAGCAGCGAGGGCCGGGCAAGCACACCAAGAGAACTCTGCAGGGCCACGCATTTCCCTTAGCCCCGGCCGGCCAGATGGCCCCTTTCCAGTCCCAGCTGAGGGTGTTCTTTGGAAACCCACATTTGGGTAGTGAAAACGGTCATGAGAATGCGTGGAAAGGTGACTTTCTTAGTACATCTCTATCCTTAGACAAACTTCCTAAAACACAGGCAGACTCACGTCTGTATGTAGACTGGGTGAAGGTGACACTATTCTGGATCACACAGTCTCTACCAGAACCAAGCCAGCTGCCTAGGTTTGGATCTGATTTAAATGTTTGAACTCCTGCACCCAGTTTGAAAATGAAGCTATAAACTTTGCAGGGAGAAATAAGTTAGAGCGCCGGATAAGTGACAAATTGTACTTTCTCCTAACTTCTTAACGCTGCTGTCTACTTCCCCAGCTCTGCTCAAAGGAGCTAATGAGCCTTCCACCTGCCAACCACGGTCACTAATCACATACGCATTGTTACAGTGTCTGTGTGCACACACACGAAGATGGGCTTATACAGCTGTAGGCATGATGTGCCCGTGGTCTCTGTTGGTGCTGCCACGTAACCAGGTATCTAGAGATCATTCACAATGCATAGAGCACTGTCACACACACTTTTGGCAGCTGCCCAGCACTCCACCCGACCGTGTCTAACCAGTCCCCTACTGAGAGTCATTGGGGCGGTTTCCATCTTTGCTCCGACAGATAACACACTAACAAAAACGATGCACACGTGTCCTCATGCGCCACCACCATATACAGCAGTGGCAATGTCATTGTGATGCCAGGGTCCTGGGTGGGAAGGGGAAGCCTGTGCTAAAGGATCCCTTACTCTGGCCTGTTATAATTTGCTGAACTCGGAGGGGCTGTGGGTCACGTCCTAACCCAGAAGGCGAGAGATAGCCCGGTACACGTGCAGGCATTACAGGCTTGATGATAAACGGACTTAACTTTAGAAAACGTCCGTTGGTCACTTCTCTGGTTGTTTTTCTGTTTGTTTGTCTTTCAATATGCATAGTGTTACCAACCAAAGACGCTCACTCGAATCTTGCTGTCCAGAATTAGAAGTTCATCACATAAGTACAGTTGACTTTCCTTTTTAATTAAATGAATATTTTTATGGTGCATCAGGCGGAGGGAGGAGGGGTTTGCACGTCAGACCATCAACTCTGCCTTCAACAGCGCTCACCACTCCTCAGCCCCCTCCCCCGCACTCACCTGTCCTGCCCCTTCTAATGTCCCTTCACCCTCTGATGGGTCTTTCTCCGCCCTTTCACCGGAGTCAGTACCTGTCAGCCTTCTTGTCTGTGGATTCATTTTCTCACCCTTGCCCACCCTCCCTTTGGAGCCTCCACAGTCTGTTCCCCATGGGCTGCTGCAAGTCTTTGTCGTGGTGTTCACCCTTATAGAAGAGGTCTCAGACAAGCTTCGCCCTGTTGCGATTGACTCCCTCAGCTCGGCATATTGTTCTCCAGGCCCATCCGTGTCAGGAGGGTGCTTCCTGGTGCCGGCATACTTGTAGTGATGCAGAGTGTTCTGCTGTGTGGACAGCAAAGTTAGAAAGCTGGGTTTTAACTTCTCAGAGGCTTAGCCCAGAGTTGCCTGGTTTCAGAAGACGATTTTTCGGCAAGAGGTCCTGGTGGCAAGTGGCCGTCGCTGGGCTGGAGCAACTACGCGGACTGCTAGAACCTGTTCTTCCTGGGGGACCTTCCGGCCTTGTGAAAGGCTCACATTCCACTGGTGTTGTTCTTGTAGGCGGGCCCACCTGCGCTTGTGCCTGGAGAAGCTGAAGGGGCTGGTACCACTCGGGCCCGAATCAAATCGGCACACGACGCTGAGTTTGCTCACTAAAGCCAAATTGCACATCAAGGTAAGTGCGCCCTCGGGATGCCTTTCCTTTGTCCTGAGCCTGCCCACGAAGGGGGTGTCTGTTGTTAGGGGCTGTCTGTTAGCAGATGGATACGGGCAGCCCTCGGGTTATGGGCTCCATTCCTGAGTGGGTCCTCATGTCCCATTTGTAGGTAAGTTGGAACAGGTGCACACGGCCCTTACTTAGCCTTACTTCAGAGCAGGAAAATGCTCAAAGCTTTTTCAGCGCTTGAAAGGCTCCAGGTGCCTCCAGGGAAGGCAGTGTGATGAAAAACTGGTTGCGACTAGCTGGTTCAGTCGTTTGGAAGTGGAGGCAAATTGACATCACGTCAGAGTGGTCCCTAAGCCAGGCTGCACTGTAACTCCAGGACACATTCCCTCCCCCTCCAGCCTGCATCTCAAATGAATCACAGGCACCTCAAAATCAGCAAAATGTCCCAAACCTCACTGAACACTGATTCCTTGTCACCCGCAGGCACCCAAAGTGCAGTGGTCCCATGCAGCTGTCCATCCCGTTACATAAGTCAGGGTCTCAGCCTCACCCTCGACAGCTGCTGTGCCTTTGCCTTTGATATCTAAGCCACCTCCGGGCCCTAGGTGTTTCCCAAACGACTTCCATCCGCACCTACCACCATCTACGCCTACACCCCCAAGAACAACCACCCTCTGGCCGCCTTCCTGGAGTCTCTCCAGGCCTCCCCAGGGGTCCTTTCTGAGCTCCTCTCAACACGCCCTCCTACTTAGCACCCTCTGTGCCCAGGCCTGTGAGGCTCCGCCTGGCCCAGCCCTCACCTGCCTCTGCAGCGCTGGAAGTTTTCTCTGCTGTCCACGCCTGCCCTTCCTGCACGGGTTCACACAGGGACTTCTGCGTGTGCTCTTCCCTCTTCCCTCGGTGTGCAGGTTCCCCCTCCCCCCGTCCCCCCAGCCTTCCTCGCCGCATCTTCCGGACATCACTGCACGTGGCGCCATCAGCTCAGGGACTCCGGCCTGCCTGTCACACTGGGTATCACCCTCTCAGCACCTGTCACAGCTGAAACCTGAACCGATTCCATGACTGCTCGTCATCGGCTAGGTGCCTAGCCTGGGAAAGGGCCTGGGGTCTGTTTGCTGGCCGCCTGCAGGATGCCTGGCATGGGCATGAGCCGTGATGTGTAGCTCCAGCAGCAAAGAGCAGAGTTGTATTCAAACTCCTGAGCACTGCGGCCAAAACCATTGTTTGGGTGTTTACAGCCTCAAGATACCTTGGCAGAACAAAGAGCAGCTTAATTATGGTTACTCTCTCCCATATGTGACAGTTCTGGGTGAAAAGAAGCTCTATTTAAAGCAAAAACAACCCCAGTTAAACAGCCCTAATTATCTGAAGGATACGAGAAGCCAGGGACAGATTTACAAAACGAACTGGTGGACAGAAATAATGCTTTCTCAACTCTAACTGTGGGCCATTTGGAATCACAACTTCAAAAGCGGCCCTTAGTTCATGCTCAGGAATGGAGATCAGGTGGGGTTGGGGCCTGGCACAGACGAAGTGCTGTGGAATGGGGCCGGGCACTTGCATACTGTCGGCGTTTTTGTTGTTGTTGTTGTTTTAACTAAATCACTTTTATTGGGGGCTCTTACAGCTCGTATCACATGCCACCCATCAGTTGTATGGAGCATATTTGTACCTGTGTTGGCATCCTCCCTTTCTAGACGTTGACTTTCAGTTTGAGCCGTGGCATCCTACTGTCCTTCCAAAGGGAAGTGGCTCCCTTCCACTCCCGCCACGAGCCATTCTCTCGCTCAGTGGTGATTGCTAGGGGTCTCCCTGAGGAAAAGGGGAAGGACAGGTCTGGGGCTCCTGCCTGCAGTCCCGTGATAATCAAGGGGAGAGGGTGCTGGAGCTCAGCCCCAGAGCCCCGAGATGACACAAGGCCCCCACCCCCCACCCCTCTGTCTGATGCTGAGGAAGACGGCAGCCACTGGCCAGCAGAGTTCCTGCCGCTGCGGAGAACTGGGAGACGAACGGGCCCCCGTGGTTCTGAGGAAAGCTGGCACCCTTCTTAGACAGCGAGGAAGTGGCAGGGTCATTGCCACTGGACCGGCCCCCTCTGGGCTCCAGCAGCTCCCACTCTGACTTGCAGAAACTTGAAGACTGTGACCGGAAGGCCGTTCACCAGATCGACCAGCTCCAGCGGGAGCAGCGGCACCTGAAGCGGCAGCTGGAGAAGCTGGGCATCGAGAGGACACGGATGGACAGCATCGGCTCCACGGTCTCCTCGGAGCGCTCCGACTCAGACAGGGGTGAGCCCCCCCCGAACCCCCGACACCCCAACCCCCCCGCCTGCCTGCAGAGCACTCGAGAAAATGAGTCACTGCTTTTGATTCCGAACATTCGAGTTCTAGGCTCTCCAGGAACGGAACCCCACGCCCGCATTCAGGGCAGTAGCAGCCAAAGAAGGGTTCCGTTCGGGCTGGCTCGTGTGTCCACCCGGGTTTCCAGGGCGCTGACGCTGGCTGCAGACCAAGAAAGCCTTCACTGATCCCTTCTTGTCTCTTGTCCCCACCCCACCCCACCCCCTGCAGAAGAAATCGACGTTGACGTGGAGAGCACGGACTATCTCACCGGGGACCTGGACTGGAGCAGTAGCAGCGTGAGCGACTCTGATGAGCGGGGCAGCACGCAGAGCCTGGGCAGCGACGACGGCTACTCCAGCGCCAGCCTCCAGAGGAGACAGCTCCCGGACTCGCGCCAGACGGGCCTCGGTCTATAGGAGACAGTGCTGGCCGCGGCTGCCTGCGGAGGGCGCTCCCCAGCGGAGCCGATTAGGTAGTGTACTGGACTTCCCATGAGCCCCTGCACGAAATCTCAGTGTACCACCCTGACCAGAGTCAGCTGCGTCCCAGTTAAGAAGGAAGGAAGTGCTAGGGTTGGTGGGTTTCCGAACGCATCCTCGAGCGGCACCTTCTCTCCGTACAAAAACAGGAAAAGATGGGCTCCGAGTGACTGTACATTCCAATCACTTTGAAGCACCCAAGCCCCAGACCGAAAAACCAACTTCCAGCGCTCCGCCGGGGCCCTCCTGCGGTCCTCCCCACCATGCGGTCAGACCGGGCCCAGCACGACTGCCCCGAGCGTGTCTGTGTTTAGGCAACTTGAAGGAGACGAGCTTGTAAAGGTGAGATCCTGATCTCACAACTCCAAAGGCCAGCTTTGAAAGCAGCATTTAAGAGCACTTAGCCACAGCCCCTCCCCGCAGTGAGGACGTCTGTCCGTCAGTCCGGAAGACCTCCAGAAAACAGACCTTCCACCCACGCCCTGCCCACCCGACCCGACCCGGGCGCGGAGGGAGCAATCCTTCTCCGTCCGACTGTGTCTTCTACAGGCCCGGTACGGTTGGTCCTCGCCAACAACGGTACAATCTATTTTTGTGCGATGCTCTTGGGACTCCGCTAGCCCAGGACACACTCTCCCCTCCCAGTTGGTTGATGCGACTTGTCTCTGGGACTTTTTTTTTTTTCGGTCCTACCTCAGAGATAATGAGATCTCCAGTTCCCACTTAACACAAAGTGATTATGCCTCTTTCTCCCTGACCCCAGCCCAAAGAGGGACATTTGGTCCGATTCTCATCTATTTTCCTATTGAACTTTCAGCAGTCACTGGCCTTGGCACTAGCTGAGCTAGTGGCCATCGCCGGTGAAAGGGAAACCCACGTTTCTACTCTGCGTCCGTCCGTGCAGGAGAGGACGGGCGGCCTCGGAGCTTCCCTCTCCTTGGCATTAGTCTTGGACATGCCCAGAAACTTCTTGCTGGAGCCTTTGGGGGTTGGTAGTTTAAAAGGCTGATTTTTCTTTTCTTTTCTTTTCTCTTTGGTTCTGATTTCTCCCCGAAGTGGTCTCCCACTTTGTAGCATTTTTATTTAAGCTAAAACAGAGCACATGTATATGTAAATAAGACACATGAAATCTATAAATGCTATTTATTCATTTTATATAAACTAATGTAATGGAAAATAAATTCTTATGACTTTGTGCTTTTATAGATGTCCTAGGAACTTTGTAGGGATCCACAAGCTTGGTCTCCCTCCTCCTTCTTACGTCTGCACTGACTCTGGTGAGGTCTGGAGGCTTCTGCCCTCCGGCCAGTCTTTTCTCGGTGAATCTGAACCACTTGTGAAGTGTGCAGTGCAGCAACGAGAGAGAGAGACTGTGTGTGTGTGTGTGTGTGTGTGTGTGTGTGTGTGTGTGTGTGTGTCACAAAGCAGAACATTCCTGATCTCCACAGACGCACTGCGATCTAAGGGCTCCCTGGCTGCTTGGGTGGTAGTGGGCAGCCTGTCCTTGCTCCCCGGCTGGCCGGCCGGTGGCCTCACACCCCACAGCCTCACAGCGCACCCCACCCCTCCCTCCACCTTCCACGCACCTGACACAGACGTTTCAAGTGCACCCTACACATGCTCCTTCCACCAATGATGAGCACTCGAAACAAAACAAGAATTACTTAGAGAAACAAAGATCCTTTACGCAGTTGTCAGTTTCTCTCTCTCTCTGTCTGTCTTTTTTTTGTTCCTAAATGATTCCAAATTCATCTGTGACGCTTGTTTTTGTTTTGTTTTTCTTCATTTCAGCCAGGGGGGAGGGGGGTGGCTGGGGGAAGGGCAGGTGATAAGAAGGAATTTTCTTTTACTTTTATTGCTGGAAATGTTTCCAAATGACCAGCTGAAGATTTGCACTGAAATACAACTTGTATGCCTTTCGCATTTTTAAAGAGAGCCTGCTTCCTGAGTTTAAGCGTGATAGTGTTCCTAGAGCCAGCAGCCAGCCTGTAGCACGCTTGAAAAGACGTACCTGCACTTTGAGGTCCCTGTCGAAGGCCATTCACGAGACCTGGCCAGCAGTTTTGTTTTGCTTTGGTCTCCCTGCTACATCCCCGCACCTCGAGCTCAAGACTTTGAGAAGAGAAGCTTGTGGACTTGTGTCTGGGGAGGGAAGGGAACAAGATGTGCCACGTGTGTGTCCGTTTGTTTAATTGAGGAACAAGGCTCTTGGGAGATGCCATTATTTTCTTTGTTTTAACTGTGCCTTTGAGTTAAACGGCTCTTTTTTGGTTTTGCTTGGCGGGGGAGGGGGGGCCTTTTGGTTGAAACCTGAGCTGTACTGTCCTGATATAAAACAGTCATTACTTGACCTTCGCACTGTTTGCCTGGTCCTTCCCATTGGGTGGCATAGATGTGGGACTTCAGAGCGCTCTGTATTTAGAATGGACGTATGATAAACCGGTCCCTGGGGTAGACGTTGACCTTCCCAGCTCCAGGTGTGCCTAGTAGGCTTCTCTCTGACTCAGTCCTTCAGGACCAGCTAACTCGGCCCTCGGCAGCTACGCCCCCTCGGTCCCCGCTCGAGCAAGCCTCTAACCAGCACCCCTGATTTGCCAGTGTGTCCTCATTCACTGATCCACCAGCATGACGGTTAAGAGCGATGGAGGGCTATGCTTGTTTGTTTGTTTGGGGGGTGGGGGCGGCGCGCACGTGCGTTTTGGGAGTGGTTGATTTTGTTTTTAAGCAAAATGAAAAATCTCTATGAGGCAGGGTTGTTGGGGCGGGCGGGAATGGGCAAAGATTTAAACCCCAGCCTTTAAGACGTTGACAATTTTTCATCACTGTAGATGTGTACGAATATAGGCTCCTCATATTTTTGTGTGAAAGTCGATTTTTAAAATGACTAGGAAAAATACCTGAACTGCTCTCGGACAGATCCCCCGGCAATGCAAATGGGAAAGGAGAGCCGGGGGTCCACGCGTCAGAAGGGATATGTGCGGGCTTCGGCCCCCATCGCAGAAGCCTTGCCCCGCGCCGGCTCTTGAGTGGTGTGCTAGCTCCAGGCGTGTCCTCTCTGCTCCTTCTGCTCAGCAGAGATCTTGTTTCTCCAAGGTGCTGATCGCCACCGCTGGCTCCTCCCTAGCCGCACATCTCATGCTCCTTTTCGTCATTCAAAGAGCGTGCACTTCTCAGCAGAACCCCGTTCTCTCTGCCAACCCCAAACCAAAACCATTGCCCTGCCAATCCCGAAGTGGGCACTGGGGGGGGTGGGGGGTGGTCTTGCCACTGAACACAGTGGTGGTGGTTTTTTAACATGGGCATATTGTCCTTTCACATCCTCTTTGTCCCCAAGTGAAGCACAGGTCCTGACAAGAGGTTTCTTTCCCAGGGGCCTCTCCGCCCCACCCCGGAAGTGACCAAGAGCCAACCCTGGAAACTAAGCGGAAGTGTGATGTTCAAAATAACCATCTAGCACTATCCTGGGGCTTGAGTGGGGATTTTGTGGGCCTTTTCTTTTTTCCTTCTACTTCTCCTTGCCTCTCCTATACCCACACACTATTTAGATCGTTGTGCCTACTACACTGGCAAGAACTCTACATTCGCTGTGTTTGATGATTTACATGTTCCCCACCCCCTGAATCTGAGTTTTTTCCAGGACTTCGCATTTCCCCGGGCTTCTCTGTCTCCTCTCCCGGTGTGTTGAATACGAGGCGGTAGGAGGCAGTCTCCCGCATGCCCTTCCATGGTTTTTCTATGTCTGATTCTGACAGCATGTTTTGGTAGCTGGCTGCTCCTGATTTTTAAAATCCTTCCTGGGGGAACAAGACCCAAAGGACCCTTAGACCCATTTTTCTTTCTTTTTCATGCGCTGCCATCGGATCTCTGCAGACTCTGGGAGGCGGTTTTCTTTTCAGAGAAACCAGGGAAGGTACAACGCATGGCTCATCATGGTTCTGTTTGTTGTTTTTGATTTCTTCATGATCACTATTTATTACATGCGTGATTTTTCTTAGACTCTGTTCTTCTGAAAGAAGAACTAAATGGCCAGCACTTCTAGATTCAGCTATTGGGTGGCTGAAGGAATGGTCGGTCTGTCTCCTGGAAATCATAAAATGAGAATGAGTACGGCATCCAATTCTGAAATGTATCCCGACTTTTGATTTTCCTTTCTTTTACCAGGGGCGCCGGGAGGTTGGGAGCGGGTTCTCCTTAAGCGTTGTCCGGAGAGCCAAACTTGCCTTTTCCTCTTGTGTTTCTGGAATTGGTGCTCTTAGAACGTTGCTGTTAGCCGTCGATTTGGGGGCGGGACAAAGGGGTGGGTTTCTTCCTAATGATGTACACAGCCTACCCGGGAGCAGCGGAGGAGAGTACGAAATTTTGTTTCCAGATATGTTTATTTCCTCCTGTAAATACTCCACCACTGTACAACGTGGGTCTAGACCATAGAGAACGGTGCTTTTTCCTAGTTAGCACATGCATTTTTAGAAACGACCTGTTTTAGAGACTCTTTGCTGTGTCCACGTAAACTTCTGTATTGGTCAACCGTTAACAAATAATAAATTATTTCATTATTAAAGAAAAGTCGTCTCCCGGAGGTTCTGTAACCCCCTCGCTTAACCCTCCCTGGGTGTTTACGTAACATCACTGGAGTCACCGGATGCCTTTTGCTCTCGCCCTTTCGCGGACAAGCACCTGGCCAAACGTGTCCAGCGCCTGGAGTTGGTGGCAAGCATTCTGGCCCTGGGCCTTCGGGTGGCCCGTGTGCTGGTCGGTGTTCGAAACAGCACCATCCTCGCCACCACTGAGACAGCCCTGCTCGCTCCCAGCTCTGGGGCCAGCTCCCTTTGCATGACAGACGCCTCCCAGCAGACCAGCCCACCCTTAGAACAAGCCCCTGAGTTGGTGGGAATGGAGACACACACACACACACAATGTGCCGTAGTAGGTTGGAGAATACAGCTGTATGGGACATGCTTTGAGAAGTCGGGGGTGGTGGGCAGCTGAGGGGGCCCAGAGAGAGAGAGGAGGTTGTTGACTGGGGGAAGGACCTTTGCCTGGGCAAAGAACAAGTGAAACAGGCAGGTTTTCAGGAAAAGGAACGGCTCTGTGAGGCCGGGCGTGGCCCGGAGCCTACCTACTGGGCGGGTGCGTGCTGGACGTGTGGAGGAAGGAGGCTGTGTGACAAGAGACCTCACCTATTACACAAGTCACCGGAAAGGAAATAGCTCGCTGCCGTGGAGTGGACGCTGGCTCACAGCAGCTCTATGGGACCTGGTAGAACTACTCCTGGGCCTCCCTGACACGATTAACTTTTTTTTTTTTTTTGCCCAACAGTTCTATGAGCACATAATTC